TTTTTAACATATTCATGCTACTCTTAACCAGATACCTGGCTTTTTGTGTCTGGCCTAATGTGCTGCCATTCCTGATTTCTTTTCTTCAATGTGCAGTTTCATTCTGTACTGATATTCTAATTATTTAGGGTTTTTTTTCCAATTTTTATACTTTTTGTGTGTTTTTTCTTGATTCTAAATCATTGCTGTCACTTGTGGCTTAGGCCGGTTTGTTTTTGGGGTTTGGTTTTGTTTTTTTTTAATTGTCAGATCATGTGAACTATAGAGCGTCTCTCCAAAAGTCTGTGTTCTTTCAGTGATAGATACCTAGAAGTTTGAGAGCTATGAAAGAAATATGCATTGGACAATTGGAATAACCTGCCTTTCCCTTTTTTCCCTTAAAGCTAAGTTATGCCTTGAAGTAACAGCATTTAAATCTCTTTCCCCCACTCCCATTTAATTAATTAAATTCACTTGAAATTCTTCCTGAGTTTCTTTACCTCTTGTTTATATGAACAAAGAGCTACATTAGTATTTCTGCTGTAAATCTGTTGTGGTTGTGGAACTGCTTCCTCTGTTGTACTTCAGAAATTCATGCTTAACTGAGTTCACTTAACTTCTTCCCTCATAGTTTAAAAGCTACCTAGTCTATGTGGGCTTTCTGGGAAAGAAACACTTCAGAATAATACATTATCTCTAGGAACACGGGGTATTTTGAGCCATTCTTCTTTTGTTGTTTCATTAGCATAGTTCATGAGCAGCTTGTTGTCTTTGGTCTGGGTCATAAAAGACCACTGAAAGTTAAACAAGTTAAACCAGTCTTAAATTACTTGACAAAGCTTGCAGGAAGTTAGGGCAAAGTGAGGAGAGAACCTGCGTCATCTTCATCCTGTGTTGATGCCCAAGTCCTGAGCGCTCTTCAGGGCGAGAACAGTATTTCTGTCATCTCTTCAGGGCATGGGTGTACCAGGCTACGTACCTTGCTGGTTGCACTCCTTGCCCTTCAGGGCAAGGCATGGAAGGCAGCATTGTGAACATGCCATTTTTATTTCCTCTTGCTCAGTCAGGTTCATGGAGAAGTTGAAATTTATATTCCTACAGCTACCTCTGTTTACAATAGTGTTAACTGCCACATTGCTTCTAAACTGTGAGCTGTTAAGCTTGCAACCATCCATCAATCACCAATAGCTGCTCAGAGGCAATGGCTGGCTGTAACCCTTGGGAAGGTACAGGGCAAGTGCCAGAACATGCTTTCATGAGGGTTTAGGATTCCACTTTGCTGTGCATGGAGAGGGATGTGAAACAGTGATTTGGCTGTCGCCTTCTCAGTTGTCTGCATTTTTCTCCTTTTACTCTTCTGCCCAAGCTGTTGAATCTCCTCTTGAACTGAGGATTACCATCAGTGATGTCAGATGGGTTTGGTGTCCTGGGTCATATCTGGTGCCCTGGAATATTGTCTACGAGTCATGGAAATTATTTACATTTGGTTAACTTGCCCAGAAATGGGAGAAGATACAATAAATCCACATCCACTGGCTGTATTATCAGGGCGGACTTTGAGTAGTTGTCAGTACCTGAGGACTTAATTAATCCAGTAAAGCTAGAAGGCCTTTGAATAGGCAGCAAGTGTGATGAAGGAAGAGAATGTGGAGGGATGCATGGGCACTGGGTGTTGGTAGTCATGGCTTTTATCTTGTCCCTGCAATACTAACACATACCTGCCTTTCTGTTGGCTGGGGGCTTGTTTAAAGCCTTTTGGCATTCAGCTTTATTAATTGTACTAGGTGTTCTCATGCTACTGTCATCCCCAGGATATTTTTTATACTAAAATTTGAAAGAATAAATGTTCTGTCCTTAATTATCTTCATTCTTTCAGCTTTCTTTAATGATGAAACATAACAAGCCTGACCTGGGGGGTGTGTGTATGTGTGTATATATATATATATAAAATCAAATTCTTATGATAAATATGTTGAACATCTCCTTAAATCAAATCTCGGACATTACACCCCTCAGTTATGCAGCAGGCAAGTGGTGGGAAGGGAATGGGATTGTTCATGTTAAGCTGCTTGTCTTCTATGATTGTTTTAAATAGTTATTTTCTGTAGCTCAGGCTGTCTTTATGATGACCTATATCCTTTATTCCTACCTGTGTCACCCCATTGCATCTGGTTTTATCACGGTGGTTTACTGCTCAGTTTAGAGAGCAATCTGTTTCACTCTAGTTATACTGTTCTTGTAGTCATTTATCACTCTGGTGTGTCGTCTGCAATTTCAGAATATTGTTGGGCCTGTTAGGATTCCCCTGGAAGATCATAAAAAAGAATCCAACCTATGTTGATTGGCTGTCAGTCTAAGTTGTCAAGCTACTGATGGAGTAGAATAGACTAGTTCAGCTGGCAGGGACCTACAAGGATCATCTGGCCCAACTGCCTGACCGCTTCAGGGCTGACCAAAAGTTAAAGCACGTTGTTAAGGGCATTGCTCAAATGCCTCTTAAACCCTGACAGGCTTGGGGCATTGACCACCTCTTCAGGAAGCCTGTTCCAGGGTTTGAACACCCTCTCGGTAAAGAAATGCTTCCTCACATCAAGTCTGAACCTCCCCCGATGCAGCTTTGAACCATTCCCAGGCGTCCTGTCCCTGGATCCCAGGTAGAAGAGCTCAGCACCTCCCTCTCCACGTCCCCTCCTCAGGAAGCTGCAGAGGGGTCGCCCCTCAGCCTCCTTCTCTCCAAACCAGAGCAACCCAGAGTCCTCAGCCGCTCCTCAGGGGACATGCCTTCCAGCCCCATCACCAGCGTCGTTGCCCTCCTCTTGGAGGCGTTCGAGGACCTGAACATCCTTCTCAAATGGTGGGGCCCAGCACTGCACACAGTACTCGAGGTGAGGCCGCACCAGTGCTGAAGACAGTGGGACGATCCCCTTTCTTGGCCCGCTACTCACGCTGTGTTTGATGCCCCCCAGGATGCGGTTTGCCCCCTGGGCTGCCAGGGCACACTGCCGGCTCCTGTTGCGCTGCTGCCGACCAGCACTGCCAGGTCCCTTTCTGCAGGGCTGCTCTCCAGCTACTCCTCTCCCAGTTTAGACTTGTGCCTGGCATTACTCTGTCCCCAGTGCAGAATCTGGCATTTGTTCTTGCTCAGTTTCATGCTGTTGATGATTTCCCAATGCTCCAAGCTATCTAGAGGCCTCTGCAAGACCTCTTGTCCCTCAAGAGAGTCAGCAGCAACTCTCAGTTTAGCATCCAATGAACAGATTTTTATAACGCAAACTTTTAAAGTTGATATTGTAGAATAGTAAATTTATTACCTCAGTGGACTCCTTTCTTTTCTCAATTCTTATTTGTACATGTTCTGTTGCTGTGTTAGTCCTTGTCATTATGCATTGTATTAGGAGCTCAAGTTCAGCTGATGGTTAGCGTGACTTACAAATTGTTCTTGGTACCCACCTCATACAACAGAGTTTCTTTATAAATACAAACCTTAGGTTTTTTGCATTTCAGTATGGTCAGCTGGATGCTTTGAGCCTGTACCTAGTCTACCAGAGTTAAAAGCACTGCCCATTAAAAACTGGTTTCTTTCTCTTAGTTTTATTAGTTGGTATTGTGTTATCGGTAGTTATTTCCTATAGCATAGTGTTTAATTCATTTAAGTGTTGTGGGTGGCAGAACATTTGCATCAGTTCTCATTAGCATAACACTGTAGCTGAAACTGAGTAAATTTGATCATGTAAAAGTGGCTGCCAAGGGGGAAGGGATTTTTGAGGAAGCACTTATGTATGGTGAAAAGCTTCTAGCAAATGGGATGCTGATGGGGTTCCTGGTGAGGGAAGAGAAGGTGAGGCATATGAGTAGGAAAAGCTGTGAAATGGCCAGGACTTTGAGGTAATGTAAGTGGAAGATGAGTCTGAATTTGCTAGCCAGATCTCTGTATTAACTTTTACCTCAAGGGGAGAATTGGATCAGCTGGAATTGAAGTGATTCTGCGTATGTGGCCAGTTGATGTGAATAGTAGTGGTTGATGGTGACAATTACAAGGTAAATTCTACCCTCTGTCTTCTCTTCTGTAAGTACTTTGAGACAGGAATCCAGTTTTATCACTGCACATTGCCTGGTGCAGTAGGACTATAACCATAACTGGACCATAACTTCTGCATGCCTGCGAAATAGCATGTAAAAGGCATTACAGAACAGCAAGATGCTCTAGATGTTGGAGGGAGGAACCCATATACATCTTTGGATGATGCTACATATCTGAGGAAAAACAGTATTATGGTGAACTTTGCTGCTGGGAGTGTTGTTCATCTTGTATCTCTGCAGGTCTTTTAGCATTAAGTACTTCCGCAGCTCTAGCCATTCTCATGCTAGGCTTTAAACTTTTGCTTTGTCAGGTACCCTCCTCTTACCTTGTTGCTTTCTTAGTGCTTGTCTATGTCTTTAATATTAGGTGTGGATGTACTTGTGCTGGGTTAACTTTTGCATTTATTAACTAAAGAAATTATTGTAGCAGTTTCAATTGTGTAATCAATTCCTAAGTGTATTCCCAACTTGCAGCTTTATCTTTGTTTCTCTCTGCTTGGATCAGTTTCCTCTCTTGAGTTTTGTGTCTCATCACCTTTCAGAAAATTCCTCCAGAAAGTTGTGTCAGAGTTCTTGAGACTTTTTTTGTATCCCTTTTGTATGGCTGGAGGGGTTTTTTTGTGGCTAAATGAACTACGGGTATCGTAAAACATAAAAATCTAATGTATTGTTGCCAAAAGGCAGCTTATACTACAAAACAGCCTTTCTGCAAAAGAAGTTTTTCCTCGAATATGCCTAGGTCTTGCTGCGTATGCAGCCTACAATGTACTCGCATTTGGGTATGTACCATTCCTGAAATACATGTGCACAATCCTGTCTGGGAACACTCATTGAATTACAAGTTAATGGGTAAAGTTCATAATACTCAAATGAAGGATGCATGGTAATGATCTGGTCTTCCTGGCTTAGAACTCACATCTGTCTCCATCCTTCCCATACAGGTGAATCAGCGCAATGTCCCAGGGATCGATAGTGCCTACCTGGCCATGGATACAGAGGAAGGTGTGGAAGTTGTTTGGAATGAGGTTCAGTTTTCTGAGCGGAAGAACTTTAAGCTTCAGGAAGTAAGTCTATGTGTTTCCCAACAAGATGTGGGAAACATACCTTGCACCAGGGTGGGATTATAGATACTGGTGACCTTTCATGTGGATTATTGGCTGGATTTGGAGTGCCGTGCTGCTCAAATGTAGCAAATTCAGCTTAAGCCTGGCCTGTGCAGAAAACGTGACAGAGAACTGTCATTATGCTATTTCCATGGGCTCTTGTGTTGATTTAGTCTTGGTGATCAAACCATGCTCAGCTAAGGTGCAGTGTGGAATGAAATCAGATGCTGTTTGTCCTTAGCATAGGAGTTTAAAGTGTACAGTGTTGTTTAAGGGGACCAAGACACAAGAAGGAAGTAAGATATGGGCTGATGTGGTCTCTGATGTTACATGTGTTTGTCTCTCTGATGTTAAGGAAAAAGTTAAAGCGGTGTTTGACAACTTGATTCAGCTGGAACATCTGAACATTGTGAAGTTTCACAAATACTGGGCTGATGTGAAGGAGAATAAGGCCAGGGTAAGTAAAACAAACAGTCTGTTGGGTTTTCTCACTGCATGTTCTGTAGGTAATTAGTGAAGCAGAGGGTAATGTCTCATACTGCCCCTACAGGTGATCTTCATCACTGAATATATGTCTTCAGGGAGCTTGAAACAGTTCCTGAAGAAGACAAAGAAAAACCACAAAACGATGAATGAAAAGGTAACTCTTTTTTTCATGTATGCCTATATTCATATATTCACTTAGTGCCATCAGCCTCTGGAAGGCTCTTTCAGCAGAGGATCCTGATGAGAAGGCAACCTGGTGATAACATGTGGTTGCAATTTCTTTTTATTACTGTAAACTAGTTTAGTTGCAGGTTCTTTTGGACAGCTGTTCTATGCTGTTTGCTTTGTTTCCAGCAGTTCTGCAGCTTCATACGTATGGTGTGACAGGCATGTCCTTTCCATGTGTGCATACAGGAGAGAGGGAAGGCATCTGTGCATGAGAGGAGTTAGGAGGGGAGGTGTGTTTCTTGACCCATACGAATATGCAGAAACTAAACTGAGCATGAGAGTACTGATCCTCTTCTTACTTCCTACACACCTGTACTGGGTAAAAGCTAAGATGCCACAGAATGGAGTGTATATTCCTTCATATGAACAGGCTATGAATGACAGAACTATGAATTGGTTCCTCTTCCTTGAATGATTTTTATTGTTTTTGCTCCTGTGTCTGTAGGCCTGGAAGCGATGGTGTACCCAGATCCTATCTGCTCTCAGGTATGTGAGTTACTGATCTTGTGGTCTGGCCATCTGTTTAAGTGTAGCATCTTTTGTGCTAGAATATTAAAAGCTGTAAACATACATGCTGCCAAATGTTAGCAAACTTCATGGAGTGGAGCCTGGAGAGCACTTTCAGTCACCCAGCCTGAGTCTCATCCCAGTCACAGTCTGCAGAGCGTCAACTGCACTTTATATAACAATCCCAGAGTCTTCAGTTAGACAATATTGAAGCCTCTAAAATAAACAGGTGCAATGTAGGTTTTGGATCCTGACAGTTGTGACTGATACGATAGTGAGTGTGGGAGTTGAGCATCAGGGAGCTCTCCAGAGTATCCAACTTTGTAACCTGGATCTAACCGTGGCCAAGAGGATGTTGCAAAGAAGTCTCAGAAAAATCAAATTCCATGTGAGATGAGTGAGGAAGATTTTCTTAGTCTTGCCAGGCTGCAGCCCTGTAGGATGTAGTGGATTCATAATTATTGTGGTGTGATATTGTTAGAAGCGTATGTGGATCTATACTTTTCTTCATGATGCAGATTTTCTGCAGCCATCTTAGTGCAAGTCAATTGAATAGAATGTGTGGGGGTTTTTTTGTTTTGGTTTTAAATACTCTTCTCTACCTGAGCCAGAGTTAAATACTCTTCTCTACCTGAGCCAGAGTTGGTGTATAGCTAGTAACAGCCTTGGAAAAAAAAAAAAAACAAACCCAGATGTCAGAGCACGACTCCCACTCCATAGAGAAAGTTCTATTGCTATTTGGCTAAATATAGCTGTTGATGAATAGTTGGGATTCTAATAATCTTTTGGGAGCTGACAGTCCTTATTTGTGCTGGCTGCTAACATAAAATCAAGCAGACTGAGGTGCAAAACCAGGTAGCCTCAAATATACCTGGGACCTCAAGCACTGAAAAGCTTTATTTGTGCCTGCTGGTAGACATGACCAATCATGTTTATACAGCACTGAGTGCTTTTTTGATGCCCTGCGAGTAGGGCCAGAGTAAGGCTCTGATATTTTTTGTATAAAATTGGAACCCTTTTAGGACCCACCTAGCAGTACTGGGATGGATGAAATAGTTTCTTTACCCCTGGTACCCTGGGTTTCTTCAGAACTGATCAGAGAAAGCTTTCTTTTTCCCCCCATGTTCTGGAGATTGTTTGTTAGAGACAATTGCTTAGTTTTCATGATTCTCTCCTAGCCTAGAGGCTGATGTACAGTCGCTTAATTCTACCTCCCTGCTATTGTAAATCCCTGGCATATGGCCTTTGCCCTCCTGTTCTCTTCTGATGTTGCTTGAGACAGGGAAGGGATGAAGGAAGGGATTCCTGGCTGCAGCCTTGGTAGTCTCCTGACCAGTGCTCTGTTCTGAATCTCTAGCTACCTCCACTCCTGTGATCCCCCAATCATCCATGGTAACCTGACCTGTGACACCATCTTCATTCAGCACAACGGACTGATCAAAATTGGGTCAGGTAAGGCTTTTTGGAGGTGACCCTTGCCTATGGGACAAACTGCTCAAACAGAAAAAGGCCTCTAATCCTTTCAAGGTTATCTGGCATGATAGGCATGTATGTATGCATGTTCCTCCACCTCCACATCAGTTGTGCCAGAGATTGGTAGAAATCACTTTTGGTTGGACCACCTTCAGGCACAGGGAGGACCGATGCTGGATACTGTTTCCCTTGTTAGCCCCGTTCCTCAGTTTTTGATCTCAAGGGACTGACCCAAGAAATGGTGCTGAAGCTTTCAAGTTTTATATGCACATTATCCTTGGATTCATCTGCTCTGTGATCTTTTTCATGTTAACACACACAGAGTTCTCTTCCCAGTGTTGTGAAGCTTTGAGAGCTGTCTGGAGGGCTGTGTACACTGAGGCCATGAGTGCTTCTTGTAGCAGCCAACATGTATAATCAAGTTTACAGACTCTGGCTGCAGCAAGCTGCTTGTCTTGGCATCCTCATCCAGCATTGCTTGCTTTGGCCTGGGCTTCAGGATGCTAGTTTGCCTTGGGCCTGTTTGGCAAAGACATACCCTGTTCAGGCAGCCACCCTGTGCTGAAATGTTTTATTTCGTAAGTAAGAAGTGATTTTTCTGGTAGTACAGTGTATCCTTGCATACTCTGTTTTTTCACGTTTGCTGTTCCTATGTCTCTAAAAAATCTGTCTGCAGTCAGGATGCATTATGTTGTGCCTTGACATAACCTTTCAAGTGACAGCTTTGCTATCTGTTGTCCAACTTATGCAAACGTGAGGAGCGTGCACTTGCTGTCCTGTAGGCTTTTGTCTGTGTGAATTCTTGGTTTGATATTGACAGTATACAGGAAAGAATGCTCTGCTTCGCCTGTCATCTAAAAATAGCTTCTCTTCATAAACTGCAAACCTCTGTGGCTTTTCTTTCCATCAAAGAACTCTTGTGTTGTCTCTCTGTTCCAGAATTGGGGTCTCTGTTCTCTATAACAAACCTCTGATACATGCCTGTACCCAGGGAGACTAGGTCATGGCAGAAGGAACACTCAGTTCTTTATCTGCCTGTAAACTTGGTGACTTGCTCTTCATACAGGCTCATGACATCATGGGGTTTGCTTTATTATCTTTCCCTGACTTTGTCCAGGTGGGAGACATTTCCAAGGGTTATGTACATCTGATACCTGTATGCTGGCAAACACAACTGGCTCCCTGGCATTCAATTCAGGCTGCTTATGGGAAGTCTGTTGTAGATTCAAGTACATAAGCGATCCTTCTCTTTCTAGTTTAGTTTAAAAGTATTATACAGCTGCACTCTTTCTGATTGGTAGCCAGGACTTTGTTTGTAAAAACAAACCACTTGAAGTTGGTATCTAGAGCCATGGATTTTTACTGGAGGGAGGTTTTGCAGATCAGCAAGTGTGACATTCTCAAGAGTACTCGGACTCCCAGTGGTGCCATTCAGAGGCTGTCTAAAAGAAAGGTGGCTTCCTTGAGTGTGAGTCACAAACAGTTGCCTCAACAGAGTTACACTTTTGCCTGCTCCCTCCTATTCCATAGAGCTTTGCTTCTGTTGGGCAGGGTGGGAGGGTCAGATGCAATTAGACTGATGTGCTTTTCCAAAGAGTAGCAGGTCTCTGTGTGCTGTAACAACTGTATCCTCAGCAAGAAGACGACACATGCTGGGAGCATGACTGTGCAAGAGCAGTGCTTAATTGCAGTTGTTCCTAAGCAAACTTCTACTCCACAGTTGCAGGCTGCCTTGCTCACCTTGTGTTCAGGAGTGAAATGATTTATCTGGGCAATTCTGGTCCTTTCTTAAGTAAAAAAGGAAGTGAGTGCAAGTGGACTAGTGGTCAGAAGAGGAATCCTCCAGATGTGAAAGCTATAGCTCCAGTGCAGGCTGGAATTAAAGTTGCCAGTGTTGCAGAATGTATTCTTATTCCTGTAGTGCCCACCCAACTAGGAAAGTCAAAACCATGTCATCAGAACTGCTGGCAGTATTCAATCTTGAGATTCTCTAGTACTGCTGACTGTGCAGTAGCCAGACAGGCTATTCTCATGTTCGAGCCCTAGAGTAATAGTTGCTTTGGGATCACTGACAATGGTAGGCCCATGTTTATTGCTTCATGTAGTTATTTCTTACAGCTGGCTGGTATCAGAAAACTTTCCTGTGTTTACCTAAAAGAAGCAGGGCAGTAATTCTCATGGATTTAAGGGGGATAATGATTCAGTGCACTGTGATCTGCTCTTTGATACTGTCTCTGTCCCCGGCACCATTCCGGGCTATGCTCCTGAAAGCTCCTCTTCCCTCTACTTTAAGCAAAAGAGAATACTTGCTGAATGTGGGGTCAAAAATCTGGGGAGAGGAAGCTGCTAGTGTGTTCTGCAAAACATCCTTCTGTCTGCTAGATGAGGAAGTACTAGAAGAGTAGTGCCTGTGACTTGTCGCATTGGAAATGGCTGGTACTTGTTCCTGTAACACCTGTTTAGGTGTGGGAGCAGCCCTTTTGCCTATCACTCCTTGCTGGTACTTCAGATTGCAGAAGAACATGCACTAGAAGGACTGACCACTGTTTTTCTTGTTCTGCATGTAATTCTGGATCAGTCTTTTTTTTTTCTAGAGACACCTGTGCACTGCAGGAAGAAAAGAGATTGGTTTAGTAGTAAGGTGTTGCTGTTACTATTGCATTGAGTTTTGGGAAGAGGGATGAAATCTTCATATGCTGGGGGTCATCTGTGGAAGAAGGAAGGGAGTGAGAAAGAGGGGGGATTTCTCATACTGCTTAAATGCACAAGCTATTCATAATCCATTAATTTACTAACTTTTTTCTTCCCCTAGTGCCATAAAGTGCAGGGTTAATAGATTTAAGGAGGAAGAGTGTCAAATGAGTGGGGAACTTTGGAGAACTTGTGATGAGGATGGGAAAGACACCTACAGTTCTTAAACTTGCCACTGGTGTTTCCAGAGACAGGAATGTTCCAGCTGCTTTCTGGAGTTGTGGTCAGATGAAAACATTTCTTGTGAGAGGTCCAAGTTGTTTTCTGTGTACTCTTCCACAGGATCCACATGCAATACCATGTTGCATTGGTGCTTATCTGTATTGTCTAACAAGCGGACCTGCGAAGGGAGCGTGTTGCGAGATGCTTTACTGTGACAGGTCAAAGGTACTCTGTGAAGGAGAACAGTGTGTTTAGACAGGGTGTTCAATGCTGCTGCTTGCTTGTGTTAAGCAGTGTTGGGAGGTGTTTCTTGTAATTTGCAGTGGGAGTGTAAGAACCAGTCACAGGTGGAAAGAAGCAATGGGTTTGAATTAAAAATCCTTTTTGGCAGCTCTTGGAGTGCCAAAACTGAGGCAGAAAAACAGAACTGAGGCCTCAAACTGGAGTGTCTTGTATGTCTTCTCGTGCCCCTGAGACATGCCAATGTATTAGGATGTGCTGAGTGATACTTCCAGTAGAGCATAGGGGGAGGCTTAGTGTTGTGCTAGTATATTTCCAAATAGTGCCTCCAGGTACTCAGCTGGTGCATATGCTTTCCTTTCTTCAACATACCTGACCTCTAGGATTCCTTATATATTTGACTGCAGTCTGTCCAGAGCTTCTTTTCACTTCCAGGCCAAGGCGCCAGGAGACCGAGTCTTACTTGGTATTAACTCTGCTATTAAATTATGTGGCCAGGTATGTAAGTATGGGTTCTGCTGCCAAGATCTATGCCCAGGAGAAGCTGTTGGGATGTGGAGAAAGGTAGTTGTCTGCTGAAGGGGATGCTAAGGGACTGTAGGGCACTCACAGAAAGAACAGAATTTCCAGCTTCTTATCCTCAGAATTGGCTGTAATCTTCTACTTGTTCAGAGGTGTCTTGTCTCCCTTGCCTAGTCTGGTTGTCAATTAGAAACACTAATGTTCCTTACATAAATTTATTTTTAAAAGGTGGCTGGAGGCAGGGCCAGATTCTTAGTCTTGTCCATGTTTTGCCATGATTTTGACTTAGCTGTCTCTATCAATGTTAAGTGCTTGCTGTTTCATCAACTCATTGACTTCTATCTTGTTTTACTTCCCGCTTACGGGCTGCTCTGTTACCAACAGTCTTTCATAGGATATTTGCTAATGGTGAGCAAACTTCTCCGCTCCTGTGATGTGATTACCACTATATATGTAATGTACATTATTTTATTTGTGTGTGTGTGCGTATATATTTATATATATATGTGTGTGTGTATATCTATATTTGTAACACACACAAACATACACACTCTCTCTAATTTATTTATACAGTGTTCCCTTGCTATAAGGCTGCTATGTAAAACTGTTTGGCTTAGGTGCATCCTACTTTGAGACCTTGTGTTCTGTGCTGGGATGTAAACTGTTCCTTGTGCTCTCAGCCAAAGCCTTACAGAGAGGGAGCACTGCCCTTTGTGAAGTCTCCTGGTTGTTAGTTCTCTTCCTCTCCTTGTCCTTAGAGTGTGCTAGTCCATGGGCCCTAGTGCATGCTGGCTCCTGCATGTCAAGCCAAGTGGATGCATTGTTCTGAGCTCTTCCCAGCTGAACTTTCCACATACATTAGGCTCTTTCCTGCTACTGCTCTGCTAGACTTGGCTGGGCACCAAACCTGGACTAGCCTTTGCTTTGTGCTTGGCTATCCAATTGCTTGCTTGTAGTTTTAAGTCCTTAGATGTTTTGGTTTTAAGATGAATGTTTCAGTGAATGTGTCTGGCTCCTGATGGCCAGAGAGACATCCTGCCCAAATGAGTCCCTGATTGTGAAGTAAGGTTTACTATTTCTGTTTCCCCAGACAAAGCTCTGTTTTTGGGGAGACCTGTGCATATGAGGAGGGAGTTGGACTGGTGGGGGCTTGAGAAGGACTTGAGTGCTGCAATTTGTAACCCTATTAAATAGAATGCTGCATTTACATTTAAAATAATTATTTATTTTTTGCCATCAGGGTTGTTCTTGATGGTTAGAGTTTGTTTTGACTGAGTTGGGAACCTACCAACTGTCGGCTGGAA